TTGATGTATGTATGGATAGTGATAAGAGTTGTATAAGCCCCTAATAAAATGATTTTTTTTTAATATATATATATAGGAACCGAGACACCGCTCCTCTATCCATCTCCAGGTGGGTCCACCCTCATGCAGATATGCCCACCTACGAGTACCCAGCATGAAGACTGTTACCCATGCTCCACCATGCTTCAAGACAAGATTTCATTGATTTGTCATTAGAAATAAATATTTCACACTATATAATTACATAATGTTTTTGTGATGAATCACTATGCTTTCATTATGTTCAAGTTGTGACAATGAAAATACATCCTGTATATCAGATCTTTACATGACAATTCATAACAGTCGCAAACTTGCAGTGATGAAGTAGCAATGACAATACTGTTATGGTTGGGGGGTCACCACCACATGAGGAACTGTATGAAAGGGTCGCAGGATTAGGAAGGTTGAGAATCACTGCTCTACATGATGGCAGACAGGTTTCTATTTGGAGGACTTGTTTTTTGGAGTCTATATACCTTTCAAGGTCAAGTCATGAATCACTAGATGCCTATTCTGAACTATTCTTTAACTAGAAATGCCTTAACCCCAGCCCACCAAAGGCAAATAAAAAGCACTCAATTTATTTTAAGGAAAACAAGTTCGTTTTTACCCTCATGATGCTTATTACATTCGGACTTGTATACATAATTTGTCTTCTGACCTTGTTTCTCCTATAAAATTCCACGTGCCTGTTTATTGCTCTCATTCGTCTCATGAAGCATTTCCAGGACACACAGGCTGCTGGCTTTGCTGAGTGGCTCTTTCTCACCCTGCAGCCATGTCTAACCTCTCTGGTGACCTCAGAGTCTCCCTCCTCTCTGCACACCCTGAAACACTGCATCGAGTCAGCCTGACAGGTGCCCACCAGGTTCCCAAAGATTCCACTTTTACTTGGAGACATGAGATTAAAGGAACAGATATCCAACAGGAAGACACTGCTGCATAAAACATGAATATAAGGCCAGAAATTGAAACATTCAATTACAAGATGTCTTTAGCCTGACACCTAGTTCAATGGTTTTCTTGTGATTCATCTAAAATAGTGTGGGCTGATTCAGAAAAATTTGGGAGAGATGTTTCCTTCAACATTTCCCAAAAAACCTAAAAAGAAAAGGTAATTCTTAAATTTTTAGAAACTCCACTCATGAAATCTAGGCATTTTAGAGCCACAGAGGTTGGAGGAACCCTTAAAACGATTGCCCTGAGGCTACTGGGAAGTTTGATAAGGTGTCTAAATTGTTGAATATAAAAATGACCATGTGAAATGTACCCCTTACCAACATCACAATTAAAAGTTAAACACACGCACACATACACACTCACACACAAAAGCGACTGCCCTCAGATAATCGTTATACCTTAATCCAAAATATTCTCTGAAGTAAATTGGCTTAAATCCAAATAATACTTGAGCTTAACGAGTTTTTTTTAAAGGACTGCCTTGAGCATTAGACTCTTAAAACTGTCTGTGTGAACGTAAGGCACCGTGGTGACAGGGTGTTTACACATTGGGCTTCAATCCACAAGGTCAGCAGTTCGAAACCACGAGCCACTCTCGGGAAAAGGATGGGCTTTCTACTCCAAGAACTAACAGTCTTAGAAACCCACAGGGGCAGTTCTACCCTGTGCTATATGGGGTTGGCAGCAGTGAGCTTAGCTTTTATAAGAAACTAAACTGACAACAGCAACTCAAAAGATTAAGTAGGGACATGGGTGGGGGGGGGAGTGAGTTTTTGTGAACATGAAAACAGTTCTGAAAAGGAGGAAGGAGGGATACCTGATTCAAAACAAGGAATGCCAGCAAACCGTACTCAGACAGGGTTGAACTGGTGTCTGACTTGCTTTGCACAGTCTGGACAACAACACATGAAAGGGGGAGAAATTTATTTTTAGCAACTCCAGTTACAGGCAAAAGAACATGGGGGCTGGGAAGGGTGAGGAAAGAGTTTCAGAAACCACTATATGCTGATTACATTTTCCTGAAGATTTTTAGTGAACTACAAATTTTTGATCAACACATATGCTCTCTCTCTCTTCTCCCCCTAAGTGACTAGAATGTGAGGAACATAAAACCAGCCCTAATAAATTTTCCATGCAAACTGCCCCAAGGGCGGATGATAAGCTGTCCTCCAAGAACCAGAAGCAAGCGAGGAGGACAAAGGACACGCCGCCCGAGGCCTGTGACGGTTCCCTTGGGGAAAGGTTCCTCCCTAGCCCTGTCTCACGGGCACCGGCCCGGCCCGGCCCAGCCCAGACTCCAGGGCTTCCACCTCAGAGCAGCCAACCTTCTCCCTCTCGCCCGTGGTGATGTGCCTTGGGCAGGAGGTGGCATATGGCGCAGATTCCACACATGTTCCCAAAATGAGCAAGCAAACGAACAAAACAGCATGGTGCTTAGCATCCTCCCTCGATTGGCACCTCACCCGGGCGCTTGCCTCTGTCTAGACTAGAGGGTTTTCGTTACAATAAAAACGTGTCCGTTTGGTTCACAGGTGCCTACTCTGAAGAGAGGAGCTTGTAACAGCGGCCTTTGCAAAATCAGTGTTAATGTAAACACGGGAGAAATGTGTAGGTCAATATTTGAGAAAGCTCGCTCTTGGCAAATCATGTTTGCTATGGACTTGTTGTCTGCACTCTCTCAATAAGAATAGCTAACATTGGTGGAGCGCTTACTATGTGCCAGGCCCTGGGCTTTCTTTTGCTCCTTTGGTGCATGCAGGATGCCAGGTGGGGTAGTGGTTATGAGTGCGACTGGGATCTGCATGGACAGCAGTTCAAACCCACCAGCAGCTCCGGAAAAGACTAGGCTTTCTACTCCTGTAAACAGTTAACCGTCTCAGAAACCCTCAGAAGGTCAACTGAGAGGCAGCATTGACTCAGTAGCAGCGTTTGGCTTTTTGTTTTGTTTTGTTTTGTTTTGTTTTGTTTAGTCCTCGCCTTCATCCTTTGAGGTGATTCTCTGAGTCACCCAGCCCATGGTAAGACGCAGTCCTGGCTTCCGTGGCCGTTATTTATTTAACCGACTCACACAGCCATGGTGACCGAGTGCACAGGCAACTGACACTTCTCAGCCTTGGGAGAAGGGTGAGCTCGACCACTGGGTGCTCATTCCAGGAACTCGAGTCGAGCACAGGGCTTCCGTGAGCAGGAGTGTGCTTCACCGTGGGCACCGGAATGCCTCACAGTTTGGATGATCTTCAACTACTCAGAGTGTTTTTTAATAAACGACATCACTCTAATTCCACCTCATGATAAAGCTTATCCTAGCAAACACAAAGCAAAACACAATTTGTTTAACCACCATGGGAAGGTACCGTGGCAGTGTGAAGTATGTGTGTCCATAGCTACTGGGGTCAAAGCCGTCAGTCATCCACGAACAGACGGTGCACATCCACGTGTGGGGAAGCACCAGTCACAGTGGCAAGAAGACAGAAACCGCCTAAAGCCCATCAGAAGAACGGACACCGAGACTCCAGCACATACGCACCATGGAAGGCGCCATCACTAAACAACAACAACAAAGAAACCGCAAGGCACCTCGGGACAAGGACAGAACTGGAGACCATTGTGCCGAGTGCAATTCCTCAACCATAAAAGGATCCAGTGATGAGACCGCTGTGATAAAGAGGAATAAAAGACAAGATTCCCCCACCGAAGGGAATAGACTTGGGGGTAATTAAGTGGTCAGGGGTGGGGTGGGAGGGGGCACAGGGGGGAGATGAAACAACAGGCTAGAACAGTGGTTCTCAACCTGTGGGTCACGACCCCTCTGGGGGGTCGAACGACCCTTTCACAGGGGTCGCCCGGTTCATAACAGTAGCAAAATGACAGTGATGAATTAGCAATGAAAATAATTTTATGGTTGGGGGTCACTACAACATGAGGAACTGTATGAAAGGGTCACAGCACTGGGAAGATGGAGAACCACCGGCCTAGAGGGTGAAGCGGTACTAACTTTGGTGAAGAGGAAGAGAATGGTAATCCACAAGACCAGAAAACCAAAGTCAGCACCATCTAGTCGATTCGGACTCACAGGGACCCAAAAGACAGGGTCGAAGTGCCCGTGTGGGTGTCCACGGCTGTGAATCTTGACGGGCACTGGATCCCACAGAGCAGCTGCTGGGTTCAAACTGATGACCTTATGCTTAGCAGCCCAATGCATCACCCACAATTCCACCAGATCTGCTAATGCACAAGACAAAATGAAATCCAAGGAGGGGGCGGTTGGATAAGCTAATTGGGGGCCTTCATAAGTAGCTTAAAGTGTTCAATACAAAATGGATTATGTGAAATGTAAATTTCCACCTGATTCACAATTTCAAAAATTGTTTTTAAAAGGTGGTGTTTGGGACCCTAGTGGCATCGTGGGTAGCTCTGCTGGCACAGTGTTGATACGTTGGGCGCAGTTCAAAACCGCATCTTGACTAGGTTCAAACTACCAACAACACGATCTTAAAGCCTTAGCACCTCATTAAAGTCACGTGCAGTAACCAAAAGCTATCACTGTAAATTTACCATTTCTGAAAAGGCATGCAGCACAGTTTAAATGAAGACACTCTACACTTTTTGGGCAGCTTAATAGTTTTATAAAAATGGTACTTGTGCTAGAAGAGTAAAATAAATAAAACCTGGGCTTTTCCCCCAGTTTTTTTTAATATAATTCACATATTATGTAATTGAATAGTCAATCACATCAAGAATTGTACAATCATCACCACAATCAACTTTAAAACATACAACATTTACTTTGTTCTTGTAATCATTGTTATTAGCTCCCCACAGACCCTCAAACTCCCCAGCCATACGCCCACAAAACCATAACTCCACTCATTGACTCTATAGAATTGCCTTTCCTGGATTTCAAATACAGTAAAACATTACAAAAAGAAATCAAACTAACAAAAACAAAGTAAAACATTAAATCCTCAATTGAAAAGAAAGCAGAAGATAATAAAAACCTGATTTTTATGTAGACTTGTTTTCTCCCAAATGATCCACCCATTGTCAAGTCCTAAATGCATAAGCATAAAGCTGGGGATTCCGGCATGAAGAACAATTCTACACAGGCGAGTCAAAGGGGCTGGTTGCCTGATATGAAGACTCACTGCCTCAGTTCTGACTCACAGACACCGGGTAGGTCAGGGAAGACTGTCCTTGTGGGTTTCCGAGACTGTCACTCTTTACGGGAATAGAAGCCCCGCCTTTCTCTCTCAGAGCGGCTGGTGGTTTCGAACTGTTGAGCTTACGGAGCATGGCCCAACTCGTGACCACTAAAACAGGCTGTGGGAAGAATGCAATCAGTGTCACTGAATTGAACTCGAGCAAGAAGGTTGTCAGGCTATGCTCTGCTATGCACAGTTTCAACAACAACAAAAAATTTTTTTAAACTCTTTTAGAAAAAGATAAACACAGCTAGAGAGACTCATTCAAGATCATTAAAATGTAGCGGTCCTCCGGTCAGACATCTTTCCGTGCAGCTGGGGCTAATGTCTATAGCTTGGTAACTGGATCATGCTAAGCAGCCTATGTGCTTAATAAGAACTTCTGTGTGCTTAAGAAGGCTGCCCTGGCATTTGGGGTGGGTCAGTCATGATAGCTACTTATCATCATTTTCAGAAGCTGTGGCAGTGACGTCATTAGGCGTTTGGCACCTAAGGGAAAACTCAGAGGTTTGAACCCCTAGTTTGGACGGACTAAGCCCCTGGAAGCACTTCAGGGAATGCCACAGCCCATGAGTTACATGTTGAGAACTGTGCTTCTAGAGCGCCCCACCATGCCCACGGCCATAACATATAGAAACACTGACCTCCACAGCATTCTGTTTTCCTCAGCCACCACAGACTAAACCAGTAGCCTTTCACGAAACTAGTGGCTCACACCTCTGAGTGTTCCCTTAGCTGCCAAACGCCTAACGGCATCACTGCCACAGCTTCTGACTCGGGGCAAGTCATGTGTGGGAAACTGGGGCTGTTTTCCATAGGGTGTCCAATGGTTGCTTTTTCAGAAGTAAATACTCAGGTCTTCTTGCCAGGGTTCCTCAGGGAGACTTGAACCTACAAACTTTTGCTTAGAAGGGCACCACCGCCTACCAAAACCGCTTCCACTGAGTCAGTTCTGATTCACGACGTGTCTACAGGGCAGCATAGACTGCTCCCTAAGGTTTTGAGGCTATAAATCTGCACGGAAGCCATCGGCTTCCTCTTTCTCCTACAAAATGGTTGCTGGGTTTGAACCGCTGAATTTTCAGTGAGCAGCCAAAAGCTTAAACCACTGCATCACCA